AGCTGATATACAAAGTCAGTATTATTTTTTCTGATTCCAAGTTTAAAGAGCCATTGTAAATCGTAACAGTGCTCTGAAACTAGAACTTGATTTGAGCCTATTTTATTAAATTTTTAAACATTCACTTTGTGTGGGGAACAATTTACATAGCATAAACTTCACTTGTAATGTGTGTGTTATGTGAGCATCAAAGTAATTTAACTGAACTTATTGAGGGTTTTTGATGTGTGATTATGTCCATTGTGTCCATTGTGTCCATAGGGGCTTTCAGCTTCAGTTTTAAAATCCAGGTCTAAAGACTAGTAGCATCTAGTTCTCAAAAAAGAGTTGCAATTAAGGTTTCAATAAAATGTATTTGTAAGATTTCAAGAAGAATTAAGGAAATTTTGAGTCTTTATTATCCTAAAAAGTGTCTGGGTGAGATGGGTGTTATTTGAGGGGGCTAAAAAAGATATAATAACAATGAATTTCTCTAGCATTTAGAATTCTATTGCTATATCAGGTTCACATAATTAGAATATTTCACATCTGGAATATTCACTTTTTTGGAAAAGCCTTTCAAAATCATTCTTTCCTGTTATATTCTTCAACCTCATAGAAAAGCAACACAAAATTGCTCTTATGAAGGAAGTTCTTTGTATTTTTAACAAGTTGATCACAAAGTTTTGTTTGGTACTCTAAAACACTTACACAACATCTTCCCTCTGCTGTGGAGAATAGGGCTTTGGTTTATTTCTCATGATAAATTAAAAATGAAAAAAAATAAAATAATATAATGGCTAATTAGCTGGTATGGTCAGTTTAAGCTATGTATATGTGTTGAGAAGTTGCACTGTATCCATTCAAAAATGCAGCATTACGTGCAGTCTAAAATTAAAGAGTACACTTTGAAAATTAATAATAGGGCCTGTATATCCTGTCTGATATCATCTGGGCTTTCAGAGCTACATTTCAAAAATTAACATGAAAAATTTATTAATTACTAATATATATTTTTGGAAACACGTCCCCAAATCATTGCATAAATATATATTCTGGTTCGTGTTGTGAAATCGTGAAAAGTGTCATTTCATTGAATGTCCTTCTTTCATCTTCTCAGAGATAGTAGTTTATAAACAATAAATGAATTAGATATAAATGAATTTTATATATGGTTTTTTTAATTCCTAACACAATTAATTAAAGACAAAATAAGAGCAATAATAAAGGTTTGAGGATTGATGAATTGCATAAAACCTAAAGTAATTGATGTGTTTCTCTTTATATTGCTTGGTTTCTATACCAAATTGGAAAGCCATGTTAGTGTTATGTACAGATAGTCTGAATGAGTGAGTGTGGGAGAGGACAAGTGTATGAGAAAGTTGAAGGCTCGATTACCAATAGGAAAAGTCCTACAAAGAACCAAGGTGGTCAGTATTGCAAAGCAAATGTTCACAAGAAAGCGACACACCCTACTAAATGCCAGCCTTCCAAAATGTTAAGAGAACTCAGACTAATGTTATTTGAAAATTTTGTCATTATGTTTTGGCCAGGTTGTTAATGAACAGCAGATGATGGGGAGAGTTCTGTGACCTGAAATTAGAGGCTGTCCTCCCCGATGGCACAGATGAACACTTATGATTAAAAACTTAAGTAACTGCTTATTCAGATCAAATTTTTCTTAAAAACAGCATCTGAGAGTATGAGAAATGACATTCTGTAACTGACATAACACAATGGTGACACTTCCATAAAATTACCAAACATGCATAGCTTGTGTTCAAGGTCTGGGAAGTATCCTGTGTTTATGCATCATCCCTAATTGACCTTTACACTTGAATATGGATTTTTTTTTTTTTGGCTTAAAGGAGTCTTTCCCCTTTAAAGCATGTTGACTAGTGTTCATCACACAGCTACCGCCATTCACCATTATGTTTTTGCAGATTTTGTTTGGAGAGAGGAGGAGAATGAGAGACATGATAATGTGTGACATTTAAAATGTTTGTGAAAAAATTAAATTACAGGTTAAGTTTATATTAGGACAAAAATTTTGAAATCCATGCATAGTTTTTCTCTAACACATATTTTCCATGAACTTTTTTTTTCCTTTTCTCTTTTTGAGTCCCATTAGGTGGCTGGAGACAGAACTTTTGCCCTCCTGCAACTCCTCTTTCTCAAATATATTTATTTAACCACCTATTTTTTGCATTTCTTTTTTTTCCCATTTTTTAAATTATTTTATTTTCTAAATCCTTGGTTTAAATTGATGTTTCAATTTGGTTTTCTTCCTACATTCTTTTTATAAAAGAGACATTTTTAAGTGCAATTTTGAGGAAAAAATAAAAAACTTGACAAATTGACAATCAGTTACAAGGTGGGGACAAAAACCCATCAAAAAACCTGATTTACAATCTTTTATCTTATCTGGCATACTCAGGGTAAAACAAACCATCCGGAAGGGCGGGACAGGTAGTTTTCACTGTAAACTGCGAGCTCAGGAGGTTGGAATCACCACTCCCTTGCTATTCTCATGGTAAATTTGGAGATTTCTAAGGATGGAGGACAGACACTTTTGATCTTGCTAAAGAACCTTTTGGGGGGATGAAAGCACCAAATTTCCACCAGGGGACCACCCAGACTGCCTATTAACACTTGTGACTGCTCACATTGCCCTCTCCCCAGAAGGATGCATCCTAACTTTCTGTTAGGGGGATTGGGTAATGATCTTTCTAGCTGCTTCATTAAGATTTTTCTTATTGATTTGAGAAATAGGTTTACAGAGAGAGAGAAAGAGATGTCTTCCACCTGCTGGTTCACTCCCCAAATGTTGTTAATGGCCAGGGCTGGGCCAGAAGTCAGAAGCGTCTTCTGGGTCTCTCACATAGGTTAAAGGACCCAAGTACTTGGGCCATTTTCTGCTGCTTTTCTCAGGCATATTAGCAGGGAGCTGAAATGGAAGTGGAGTAGCTGGGACATGAACCAGTGCCCACATGGGATGGGATGCCAGCACTGCAGGTGGTGACTTAACCCCCATGCCAAAACACTGGCTTCAGGAATTTACTCTTAAGCTGAATAACATTCTGTTGCGTCTATATACTATATTTTCTTTGTTCATTTATCTTTTATCAGACACCTAGATTGATTGTATGTCTTGGCTGTTGCAAATAGTGCTGCAATGAAAATGGAGGTGCAGATATCTCTTTGATAGGCTAGTTTCATTTCCATCAGATATGTGCTCAAAACTGGTATTAAAACTGGAATTTGGGGTGCCATATGAAATCACCATGTGCTTATTAATAAATTTCCAATATTAATAAGTATGTGCGGGTTCTTGCTTAATATTCAGAGAATTCTGAATACTGGCATAGGCATAAATGAATGAGGCAGCATGGTACATTTTTAAGCTTTTATTCAGTGTGAAAGATGCATAGGAGAGTGAGGCCCCTATTTATAGCAGAGAAGGAAATCTGGGTTTGTTATGCCCGCAGTCCGTGGTCCCCCGAAAATCTCACCACCAGAGACCGAAGTTGAAGCCAATTAGCAGGGTCGTTTTTATTATGAGTTCGAACCAGGGCCTCTCTGTGCCCCCAGGAGAGGAAGCCCCCAAGAAGCCCTGAGCCCAATTCTTACAGAGCTTTTATTATCATGTACGAGCAGGCTTTAGGGGAATGCTACAGATCAAGTTGACACTTCTGATAAGTCTGATAAGACACCTGTCTCTGACTCCAGGGTAGGGACTGGTTGTTATCTCAAGCTTTAAACCTCCCTTTTACATTCCTGGACCTGGGTCAGGGTAGGGTCACATGGCCAGGTGGAGGGAAGGGGGAGTGTACTATACGATAATCAACTTAATGTAGTTACTGGATTACTTAGCTCAAAGACACTTAGCATTGCTTATTATTACTACTAGTTGCCTAATAAGCTAATGTGATTACACTTTAGGTTACATCAAAATAATGATAATATTTTCTAGCACTATTATAATGGATAATAAGGGCATAGTAAAAGCTGGTTGTGCAGGTGTCTTCTCAGGTTCACACCAAGTACCAGGAACCAGCCACTAGGAGGAGCATCTAGGCCAGGAAGCACGGGGCAGGTGGCCAGAAGGCCACGTGCCTGCCCTGCATGTGCAGGGCCGCAGCAAGGCTCCTACTGGCAAGAGGCCAAGGAATGGAAGGGGCGGGCACACCATGTCCCAGGCTTTTAATCCACTTTCAAAGAGGAGTGGTTAATTAACCTGATTGGCCAGTGGGTGCACAGGTGTGGCCAGGTAGGAGCATGAGGTCACAAAGGGGCATGGTGAAGGCGTGGTCTTCCAGCTCACAAACCTTATCAATTTTAACCTGTATGCCTGCCTACATCAGTATAGCTGGGTCATAGGACAAATCTATTTTTGGTTTCTTGGAAAACTTCCACTTTTCTCCATAATGACTGTCTTTGAGCTTTGTGACTATCATTCATATGCATTGATTTCAAAGTTTTTCTAAGCAATTTTTTGTGTTTTACATGGTGCCTCTTTTTAAATCAAATTTTAATTCCAATGTTTTGGTCCTATCTTATGAAAAGTTTCCCTTTAGATGAACATCTATGTGGCTGGGAAGAATGTAGTATCATTCTGATAATCTTAGTATTCTTATCCTACTAGGATTTTTGTTTTACTCTCTGACTTGACTGTCTCTATGTTTTCTCATAGATAAAGGCCATAGAAGAGAGAGAAAAAATCTCCATACCTCTCACCTGTGCTGAAGCCTTCCCAAATGCCCAAAGCCTCTAAGAAAACACTGATGTCTGGAAAAGGCAAATGCACATATTGGATGTGCTTGTTTATAATCTTCCAAACATTATATTTTAGATTATTTACCATAGGAAAAATTATATTACAATAACAATTAGTTGATCACTTTCATGTGCCTGCTTGTTGACAGGCATCATATAGTTATATCTTCTTCCCTCCATCCCAAGTAACTAGCTAACTTACTTACTCCTTCCCTCCCTCTCTCCCTCCCTCCCACCCTCTCTCTGTTACCTCCTCCCTTCCTCTCCCTCCTTCTTCCTTCCTTCCTTCCCTACTTCTCCTCCTTTTCCATCTTCTCACCCTCTTCCTTCTCTTTCTCTTTCTCCACCTCTCCCTCCTCTTCCTTCATTGTCTGTCTCTATTTCTCTTCACTTCTTCCTTCCTTCCTTTCAATTTGCAAATAGCTAAATTGAAACAGCATGTATTTATATTATGCAACATGATGTTCTGATATATATGCTCATTGTGGAGTGGCTAAATCAACTAGTTAACATATACATTACCCCACAGAGTTACATTTTTGTGTGTTTGGTGAGAACATTTAAAATCTAATCCCTTAGCAGTTTGCAAATACACAGTGCATTGCACTAGCTATAACCACCGTGATATGTAATAGATATCTTGAACTTAATCATCCTGTTCAACTGGAATTCTGTGTCCTTTGACCAGCTTTGCCCCAACCTTCCCACTGCTCAACTTTAGGTAATTCTGTTTTACTTTTCTGTAAATTAAACTTTTAAACATTCTGTATATAAACGAAGGCACAGGATATTTGGTTTTGGGGCCTGGTTTATTGTATTTAATATAATTTCATCAAGTTTCAGCTATTTTGTCATAAATGACAGGATTTTCTTTCTTTTGTATAGACTCAGACCAAGTCTGCAACCTGGGATGATGGCTGTGCAGAATTATTCTGTGGTGTCAGAATTTTTGTTGCATGGGCTCTGCAAATCATATTATCTCCAATGTGTTTTATTTGTACTTTTCTCTGGTATCTATATTGCCATTATGCTGGGCAATCTCCTCATTGTGGTTACTGTGATTTCTGACCCTCGCTTGCATTCCTCCCCCATGTACTTCCTACTAGGGAATCTATCTTTCCTGGACATGTGGCTCTCCTCATTTGCCACCCCCAAGATGATTATGGATTTCCTTAGTGATCAAAAGCTCATCTCCTTTGGAGGATGTATGGCTCAAATCTTTTTATTGCACTTTACTGGTGGAGCTGAGATGGTGCTGCTGGTTTCTATGGCCTATGACAGATATGTGGCCATATGTAAACCTTTGCATTACATGACTAGGATGAGCCGGGAGACTTGTATGAGGCTGGTGTTAGTTTCTTGGGTCATTGGATTTGTGCACTCCATCAGTCAAATAGCTTTCACTGTGAATTTACCTTACTGTGGCCCCAACGAGGTAGACAGCTTCTTCTGTGACCTCCCCCTTGTCATCAAGCTTGCCTGTGTAGATACTTATGTCTTGGATATACTTATGATCTCAGACAGTGGCTTGCTTTCCGTGAGTTGTTTTCTGCTCCTCGTGATCTCCTACGCTGGGATCCTCCTCACTGTCCAACAGCGTGCAGCTGGTGGTGTAAGCAAAGCACTTTCTACTTGCTCTGCACATATCATGGTAGTCACACTGTTCTTTGGACCCTGCATTTTCATTTATGTGTGGCCTTTCAGTAGATTTTCTGTGGATAAGCTCCTGTCGGTGTTTTATACCATTTTCACTCCACTCTTGAACCCTGTCATCTACACGTTGAGAAATGAGGAGATGAAAACAGCTATGATGAAATTGTGGAAACGACAAGTGACTTTTCACTGAATTCCATAGCACTATATATTGCTACTCATTCAAGGGATATAATTTTCTTAATATCATTGTGCTCAAATATTTATTCTTAAATTATATTGATTTAATCCTTAAAGAAGGTTTATTTATTTATTTGAAAAGCAGAGTTAGAGAGAGATCTTCTATCTGCTGGTTCATTCCTCTAATGACCCCAGTGTCTGGGACTGGCTCAAAATGAGGAGCCAGGAGTTTCTTCGCATGTGAGTGCAGCAGCCAAAGAACTTGGGCCATCTTCTGCTGTTTTACCAGATGCTTTAGCAGGCAGCTGAATCTTAAGTGGAGTAGTTGGGGCATAAATTGGTGCCTATTTGGGATGCTGGCATCACAGGCATTGTCGCAAACCTATACATCATGATGCCAGTCACTGGTGTAATTCCTAATCTGTCAATTATATAAATAATTTCTATAAAATTGTGTAATTTTTAATATATGCAATATGTGTACTATACAGGGAGAATCTTCAATATGTACTTTATGTTTAACTCATTTATTAAAAAGGAATGCATGTGGCAATATTCACTTACAGAAATTAATGTTAGTTTTTATGTATTTTTTAATTTGAGAGGCAGATAGACAGAGGAAGTGAACTTCTTTTTTATTTAAGAATTTTTTTTTATTTTTTTTTATTTTTTGACAGGCAGAGTGGACAGTGAGAGAGAGAGACAGAGAGAAAGGTCTTCCTTTTTTTGCCGTTGGTTCACCCTCCAATGGCCGCTGCGGCCGGCGCACCGCGCTGATCCGATGGCAGGAGCCAGGTACTTATCCTGGTCTCCCATGGGGTGCAGGGCCCAAGCACCTGGGCCATCCTCCACTGCACTCCCTGGCCACAGCAGAGGGCTGGCCTGGAAGAGGGGCAACCGGGACAGAATCCAGCGCCCCGACTGGGACTAGAACCCGGTGTGCCGGCGCCGCTAGGCGGAGAATTAGCCTAGTGAGCCGAGGCGCTGGCCGGAAGTGAACTTCTATAGGCTGATTCATACCCCAAATGCCTGTAATGGCCTGACTTGGGTCAGGATGAAGTTGGAAGCCTAGAACTCAATCTAGGATTTCCACGTGGGTGCCAGGGTCCCAACTGCTTGATCTCTCACCTGTTGCATCCAAGAATCTGCTTAGAAGGAAGCTAGAATCAGGAAATGAGTACTAACTGACATCTTCACTTCTGAACCAAATACCTAACTCAAGAATTAATTTTAACATGGAATATAAATATTTTATAGCTAAATATTTTCCACTGTAAACTTATCTATAATGTTACATTTAACATGAATTGGATTTCTAAATTAATAAATTTTACCCTAAGTAGATTTTCAATAAACACTGTATTTTCCACTGAGTTAATTTTACCCCTTTGTTGAGTCATATATAACAAAGTGTGTGCTTTAATACCACAGATCAGAACTTTTACTGAGTCCCTGGATCCCAAAAGACAATCCTAAATGAGGGTTAAGTTTGCTTTTGAATAAATTAATGTTCAGATAATTCAAGCAATTTTCATCAAGGTTGACTCTAAAATATCAAACCAAAGGAGAGGGTTGGGTAAAGACTGAATTACTCAAGTAAATGATGAAGCTTCCAATAATTTTGGACATTGTCTTCAATCAGAAGATGTACACTTCAAACTTCTTGTGTGTCTGCAACCCCACACAAGTGCATAAACATAAATAAACAAAGAAGAAAACAACTTCTGCTTTAGGGTAAAGTCTCCTTGTCTGTTACCGTGATCATACTTTCATTTATATTTTATGCACTTTTCCCATAGTCAATTTTTCATCAGCTACAGGCATTTAACATTAAAAGAGTTTAAAAGTAATTCAATATCATCCTTATGATTAAATTTCTCAGTTGCTATTGATGTAATACCGATTGCTGACTTTTTACAGACTTTAGAAATAGCCACTTTTACCAACAAGATATAATAAATACTCTTTATACTTTTACTTTTCAAGAGTGAATGTTGTCTATCATTCTGTATTTCAGATTCCATACACTTAGCTAGTAGCTCTGGGAATGTCTCTGCTCTATGATTGGGACAGGCTTGCAGGGTGGATTGGAACCTCTGCACCCCATGACTGTGGGAGCTTTGTGTGCTGAGGCTATAGGAAATCCATGATGGGGCACAGTGAGTAACTGGGTCTCTGGGCAATCACTGTGTCTGGTGCCAGAGGCTCAGAGCTCCCTGATTGCCCAGAGAGGTCACTGCAGAGGACTCATGCTCACACTGAGAATTGCACAGATCCTTTGTGAGGTTCATACAACAGCATGGGTAAGTGCTGTGCCCACTGTGAGCTAACCCCTCACATTGGTCACTTTGGAAGAGAGGAGGTGAGGGTGTGATTATGTCAACCCCGGGAGGGCAGTGGAGGATGGCCCAAGTGCTTCGGCCCTGCATCCGCATGGGAGACCAGGAGAAGCACCTGGCTCCTGGCTTCAGATCAGCGTGATGCGCCGGCCATTGGAGGGTGAACCAACGGCAAAAGGAAGACCTTTCTCTCTGTCTCTCTCCCTCTCACTGTCCACTCTGCCTGTAAAAAAAAAAAAAGTTCTTTCTCAACAATGGCATTGTCTGTGCATACAAAACTATTGATTTTTGTGTGTTGATTCTATATCCTGAAACTTTACCAAACTCTTTTACAAGTTCCAACAGTCTCTTAGTGGAGTCTTTTGCTTCTCCTATATGTAGAATTATATCATCTGCAAATAATGATAGTTTGACTTCCTCCTTCTAAATTTATATCCTTTTGATTTCTTTTTCTTCCTAATGGCTCTGGTTAAAACTTCCAGGATTATATTGAACACCAATGGTGAAAGAAGCCATTCTTGTGTAGTCTGAATTTTACTGGAAATTCTTTCAACTTTTCACCATTCAATAAGATGCTAGTTGTGGATTTGTCATAACTTGCTTTGATTGTGTTGAGAAATCTTCCTTCTATACTCAATTTTCTAAATTTTTATCATGAAAGTTTGATGTATGCATCAAATTCTTTCTCTGCATTTACTGAGGTACTTATATGATTTTCATTCTTCAACTTATTGAAGTGATGTATCATATTTATTGATTTCATATGTTGAACCATTCCTGCATACCATGGATAAATCTCTTTGGTCTAGGTTAATGCTCTTTCTGATGTGTTGTTGGACTCGAGTAGCTAATGTTTTGATGAGGATTTCTGCATCTATTTTCATCAGGGACATTGGTCTATAGTTTGATTTCTCTGTTGTATCTTTTTCTGGTTTAGGAATTAAGTTGATGCTGGCCTCATAGAAGGAGTTTGGGAAGATTCCCTCCCTTTCAATTGTTTTGAATAGCATGAGAAGAATTAGAATTAGCTCTTCTTTAAATGTTTGATAGAATTCAGCAGTGAAGCCATCTGGTTCTGGACTTATCTTACTTGGGAGGGTCTTTATTACTGATTCAATTTCTGTCTTGGTTATTGGTCTGTTTACATTTTTATGCCTCAATTTTAGTAGATTGTATGTGTCCAGGAATCTATTCATTTCTTCTAGGATTTCCAATTTGTTGGCATACAGCTCTCAAGAGTAATTCCTGGGGGGTGGAGCCAAGATGGCAGAATAGGGAGGGCACGCACCAATAGTCGGGAAAAGAAAGTTTAATAAAAGTGGAGTTACTATAGCCTCTGGAAAAGGCTCAGGAAAAAATTGCAGAGGAAACTCTTCTGGATCTAGTGGATGTGACACGGAGGACCTACGGGGAGAGCAAGGTCGCCCACCGCGTGGAAGCCGAGCCACTGCAGGAGCCGAGCCGCTGCAGAAGCCGAGCCACGCGAGCCGCAGAGTCTGCACCAGCGCTGGAAGGCGAGGTGAGACAAAAACCTCGGTAACCCGAGACATTGGTGGGGAAAGGCAGAAAGAGCCCACAGGGAACGAGGCCTGAAGCCCCACTGGGGAAAGTTCACCAGGCTGACTGGAGGAGAGAAAAAACGAATAAATAAGGGGAACCAGCACAGACATTAGCCTCTCTCTCCACTCACCTTACAAAGCCGAGCAAGACAAAGAGCAGGTGCCATTTTACATATGTAAAGAGGCCCCTGCCATTAGCCAAGCAGAAAAACCTGACTCTGGTGGGGAGAAATAACAGGAGGTTAAGATCTAGTGAAAGTGTGGAGCTAACGAACTGAGACTGTGAAAATCTGAGGGGGGGGGGTGAGAGAACTCACCGAGTACACAAACTCGGTAACCTTGGCAACCTGGTGAGAGACTGCTGAGAAATTTGAGACCACACTGAGGGCTGAATAAACACTTTGTGTGGTCCCGGGGTAAGCAGACAAATACCCATAGGGGCCAGATTGCATACATCAACTACCCTCAATTCCACTCAGCTGTGTGGAATTACTTCCCAACTGAGTCAAAAAAAAAGAAAAAAAGAAAAAAAAAGAGAGAGAGAGAGCGAGCAAGTGAGAGAACAATCTGGGTGAGTCACCTTAGGCACACCCTTAACCCTGAAGAACCAGACAGCACTTTCTGGCCACACCCATCGTAGCCTCTAAGGATCCATCAAATACAGACAGTACACTTGATCTGGAGTCATAGTATAACAAGAAAAAACACCACACCAAAGAAACCAAAGAATATCTCCAATATGCCAAACAACAAACGCAGAAACCGAGGTAACAAGAACAAGGAAGAAACTATGACGCCCCCAAATGAAATGGACACCCCAATTCAAGATTATGAAGATGATGAGATGGAAGAAATGCAAGAAGAAGATCTCAAAAAATTGATAAGAACATTAAGAAGTTCTCAAAAACAAATTCTTGAACTACAGAAATCCTTAATGGACAAGATAGAAAATCTCTCTCATGAAAATGAAATATTAAGGAGGAATCAAAATGAAGTGAAACAGCTAGTAGAACATGAAACTGTGATAGTGACGAGAAATCATGATGAAATGAAGAATTCAATTGATCAAATGACAAACACATTAGAGAGCCTTAAAAAGAGAATGAGTGAAGCAGAAG